CGGATCTGAGTTATTTATCTCAATCTGCCTTTCATTTCCCTGATTCATCTGTTCGTTCCTCGCATCTGTAGGTAGGAACTCAATATTCCGATTCCCAGCCATGGCAGCTCAATGTCGAGGGAATCCTTCTTCACCTTTAATGGACTCGTCGCTTGTAGTTCTGGAATCCCAGAATTTACCGCTCTGATACCATGTTCAAATAGAGAAATCAACTCTAATTTTATTATATGAGCTCAAAGAGAAACTACAGATCCGGTTCGACTTTATAGTGAAAAGAAAACGAGGGTAACTAACTAAAAACAAACTTATAACAATCAAGTCCCTGAACTATGAAACATGACTAATTAAGTCCTTTTAGTAATAACTTGTACAATTTTGAAGAAGAACTTCGATGAGACACTCATGTGTGTGTGAGAGAGGGATATGGGCATTCACTCAATTGATGTCATATTGTCATTTGTTTCATTATTAATAAACAGTTTATTTTTCTTTTTTACATTTTTTTAAAATTATCCACTCAAATGACAATACATCTCTTCAAGCTCGTCTCTATGTTTCTCTCTCTTAGTTTTAACAAATTTAGTCCTTGTTTGAAAATGATTTTTTCATACATTCAATTTTAGTCATGCATTAAAAAAAATATTATATCTCATATTTTTTCAAAACGTTTTCCTATTTTTTAACTATAAATTCTACAAAAAAATGAATTTTCACAAAATCATTTCTAAAAAATCAATTTCACCCAAGGGCTCAGAACATTTGAAATTGGATAGTGAATTACACCAAAAAATATATCACATCACTCTAGAATACATGACAAAAAAATGTTTCACACCATTCATTTCCACTAAACATGCTACAACCCAAAATTATGTAGCTTCATATTCTAATATTATTTTTGTAAAATTGATCGTGGGACATGCAATTGAATGAATTTAGAATTAAGAAATGATTAATTTATTTTCCATCAATGGTGTTGTAAAATAATTATTTATATATGAATAGCATATTGAAGAATCAATTTCATAAAATAAAATATCATAAAATAATTTCTTAAATTTTTAAATTAAACGTATTTTCTAATTTTTATTTTGAGAAACAATTTTTCAAAATAACAATATATATATATATATATAGAGTTGGCAAAACGTAGAAAATAAAAATGAATGACATAAATTGAACTGAGAGTTTTTATCTTCAATTAAATATATATTTTTAAAAATTTTATGTAAGTAACCATCAAGAGCTTGAACTATTTTTACTCTTTATTTTTTTAGAAATTTAGATTTTATTTTTTTCATTTTTTTTATTTTTTTTATTTTTTAGAATTTATCATTTTTTTTTAGAATTTTATTTCAACACTTGTTTACTATCTTTTGAGCGTTTTCATTGAAAACTCTCAAAACCGTTAAAAATACATTTTGAGTTTTTTGTTATACCTTGTTTTGAAGATTGATTTTAAAAAATGCCACTCTCAAACCGTTAAAAATGCATTTTGAAAATTTAACCTTGTTTTGAAAATTGATTTTAAAAAATGTCAGACTATGAGTTTTGGGTATTTTACAAAACTGAAAATTGAAAACAGCAAATCAAATGTACCTTGTGCTTGAGTTTAACTTTGCTCTAGCCTAACTTTATAAACACTTCGGTCTTGTAACAATATGGACATTTTTGTCACATTAACAGAGGTTGGAATAAGTGAAAAATAAGAGATTCCTTCTATTTCGAAAGAAAAAGTACGTTTTCAATTTTACACATAATTTACTTATATATGTAACTAAACATGTATGCGTTCAAAATTTACTTAGTGAGTTTGACATATGTGTTAAATATTTTATAACTAAGTGGAAAGTGAATTTTCTGTTGGGAAATATGTAAGAAAATTTGGAAAGAACTAATGAACTCCAAGATACGAAAATCGTTATCTTTTAAGAGATATTTCTCCCATTTCCAACAAAGTCACGACCGGGGTATGATAGAAAATCTCTCCCAAGATACAATAGAGGCGTTTGATTCAAACTGTGACAATTTGATCAAACCAAGAAAATACTCTATAATGAAATTGACGATGCCAAGAGAAAAGAGAGAAAAATAGAAAATAACGAATTTTTTAATGTATCTTGCAAATGAGAATTCGCCCAAAATATATAGAAATGGAGGCAACCTTTTGAATAGGTGTGTCTCTTGAAATGAATGGACGCATTTGTTGGAAGAAACATACATATTCAAAGACTTCTGAGAATAAAATTCTCTTTTGGGGGCGTTGCCCCCGAGCCCCCACGGGGGAGCTACCCCCTCGACCCCCGCGACATGACCGGGCAGGTCGATCCCCGTTGCGTAGCGGCAAGCACTAGTCGAGGCGGCAAAACATTCGCAAAACAAAATATGAACACGCAAAAGATGAAAAATATCTAACATTTTTCTCATTAAGAAAAATAGATGTAACATGCCATAGAGAACATATGTTTTTGAGGTGTGTTGGCCGTTGGGAATTGCATTGTTCAATGGCGATAATCGAAAAATTATGCGATTACACATTTTTAACTAGTACACCGTGAAAATTTGTAGATACATATACATATGATGGAAATAAAATCCAACATATTTCTTCTTCTAGACTATCAAGTACCATCTAACAAAAACCTCAAGCCATCAATTTTTCGGAGGAAGAAATTCGAAAAATTCATTTCGAGTAATTATATTTTTTAAGCTTGAAACACCAATGTCCTCAGCAGTGACCTCAAGGTTCTGGTCACTCGTCCAAATTGGAAAGAGCTCAAGGGTTAGATTTTCTTTTCCTTCATTTTCAAGAACGTTGATTAAATCATCATTCTTGGAAGGCAATAATGACATGCTGAGTTTTAGGTCACCAAAAGGCTTCGAATTTTCCTTTGTAGTAAATTTTTTGTTGGGAGGCATAAAAGAATACAAGTCCAGTGGCCAGGTTTCTTGATTCTCTGCTGCTGTCTGGTGCAATTCTCCCTGATGTATTGCTACAGAATACTGAAAATTTACAATAAATAAAAGGTGGGTAAATTTCACACTATGCCCAAGAAATTCTGACTTTACATGTGAAAGAAGCCCGTACAGAAAGTATAGAATGCAACTCTTAAGACCATTTCTTTTTCCATTGTACAAAAGCCGTGTCTTTTTGGGTACACTGTTTTGAACTCTCATATTATTAACTCATAATATTGTTTTTTACATCTTGGAAGAGAATTTAGTTAGCCAAGTCAAAAAGTGAAAGGGGTGTGGACCTCTGAAATTTTGCTGCAGTTTGAAGGAGTAGCCAACTTCTTAGCACGTTCAATTCCCAAATCTCGCTTGCTGAATCCTACAAATCAAGACCATAATTTTAGTTCGCATAAGATGAGGGGTGTTAAATGGACCGAGCCGAGCTGCTCACTCACCCACTGTCAGCTCGATTCTGCCCACCTAATAAGTCATCTCGTGCTTGCAAATGAAGTGAAGCAAGCACAAGTTGGATCACTTACTAAAACCTCAGCTAGGCTTGACCCCACCAGCTCGAGCCCAGAAGGCTCCCGAGCAACTTGCGGCTCACACAGGTTTTGTTTTTTCTTTTAAAAATCATTTTTTTAAATTTTTTTTTGGTCGTTTCTTGGCTCCCAAACGAGCGACAAATGGCTTGCACGAAAAAACCCAGCTCGGCTCGTGTGGGGTTAGGCAGCAAGCAGCTCAACACACTGGACATCTCTACATGAGATACAATTTCTCTCTTTTATTTTATTTTCTTTCTCTAGCCGTGCAAAACACAAAAACGTTAATGTTTGAGGAAAAAAAAAAAAAACTGTAACATTACGTTAATTTTGGCTTTCTACGACGTCCAATAGAGGACTTTTAAAATTTGTTTTACAGTGATCTATACGTTTTATGGTATAAGATGATCACCATTCACCAACTATATATAGACTTCAATATATCACAATAATATTTGAATCAGAATAAGGTAATTAATACCTGTGTGGTTTGCTTCCAGGGTATGAACACCATGTATCTTCGCTCTAGATAATGATTCTAGATGACGACGTTTTTTCTGCCTTTCTCTTGCTTTGTGATTTTGAAACCAATAGAACACATTCTTCTCTTCAATCTTACCAAATCGACGAAGTTTTGCCGCAATTTGCTGGATTTGTTCGGCCGATGGTGTTCTGGTACCACGTCTATAAATTTCTTCAAGTGCCTGTAATTGCTGTAATGTGGGATTCCATCTTGACCTGCTTACTGCAGGCTCTGTGCTTGTGTCTTTCTTGACTTGGTAATCTGTCACTGCAGCCACAAGTTATACATAAAACTTGTCAAAAATATCCATTCATCAAGAGATGGAAAAATAGCACAAACAAGAACGATATTCAAGAAGAAAAATATGATCATACTCAAATGTTGGTTCCTTTCAAAGATATTAGGGTTATGAATGCAACACGAACAAGGGATTTGTAATTTTGGAGTACTAATTGACATCGGTACGAGAGGTCGAGGCTTCGGATTGTAGGAGAGATCAGATATCTTCAACGCTTTGCCATGATCCTTATACTCTTAACACCCATATTCTACACTATCAATATATTCAAGCCTCCCCACCCACCCCCACCCTCCTTATATATGTGTGCTAGCAGTTTGGCTGGTGACTATTACTAATAGTTGCGCTAAGTCCAATTTAACCCTTGTTCACGATAAATCCAACTCGTCTATGTAAAGTTATTTGGATTTACTAAATGCTCTCTGTGTGGGTGTGAAGTATCAGTGGCTAGTTGTTATGGTAAAGTGGATTCTCCATGCCCAAGAAACAGTAGAAATTCTGAATTGAAGAGACAAAGACTTAACGTGGTAGAAAAAAGAGAGGATGAACAAGCAGAATGTTTAGTAGGTTGACCACGCTATATATTCTCTTGTCTCGCACATAGATGCACAAAGAGAGAGAAAGAGAAAGAACAAGACAAAGAAAAGTTATTAAGGTGAATGAATTGAAATGAAAAAGAAGGCGTTAAATTCTGGGAGATTTTGGGAGAAGGAAAACTAAAAGCGACGTGACAATGATGAGATTATGAGAAGATTGTCATTAGATTTCAATGTCTTGTCTCTCTTTTGCACTAACATTGTTTGTCCCCTCTTTTTCATTTACCAGTCGGCCTGCCTCTGTCCTTTCTCTTCCACATTGCTTCTCATTCCATTCTTCTCTCTCTCTCTCTCTCTCTCACTCTCACACACACACACACACAGACATAAAGTAAACTTACATTATCCAAAGTTTACGATATATAAAAGTAAACTTACATTGTCCAAAGTTTACGACTTAATCATACTCCTTTTCACAATAAGTCGAGTAGTGTAATTTCTCTCTTGTTCATAATAACTCACACTCGCTGCTTGAAGAACAATTGTAATTTATTACCATATTTCAAATTTGAAAAGTCCTTGACTTCCTCTATAAACTTCACTAGTGTATCCAAAATCAATCTAATACATTCCCTTGCCTTCTGATAAAAATTTAGTACCTCCATCTAACATCACTTGCAATAGGGAAATTCGGTGTCTACATATATATATATATATATAGACATATAGACATACGCACTCGAACATATATGATATACGTATACCCTTTGCTTTTTCTTGATTGCTCAAATAATTAACCTTGTTTATTTCTCATTTTTCTAACCTTCCCATACAATTTTGAAATTTGCCTCCTAGAACTTTGCAATGCGGCCTCATTATTATGTATTACATTACTACTAGGAAGTAAAGTGTGTCTAGCGTATCTGCTCTAGATAGCTTAAATGCAGAAATATAGGTAGCATCTCTCTCACAAAAACATATATAGTCCCTTAAATTATTGTAACTATTGCAACTGTAAGAGAAGAAAATATTTTAATACAATAATTGGTAAGTAAATTTCTAGTGGCTAACCCTCAGCCAATTAATTTTTTTTTTTCCTAAGAACATCTTTATTTGATGTCGTTGTTGAAGAATTATTATCCAACCTTCGTGTCTTTGACTTATAACCCATCCTGTCCTAAGAATCTTATTGCCCATATGCGTTTTCTGAATTCTTTAACAGATATTTTTTCATCTAAGATGAAATCGAACTGTATCTGTTACAAAAATGGTCTGCACACAATTCTGTCCTTTCTCAAAAGATAGTCTTTCTCGTCACCCTATATGAAGGGTAATTGTTAAAACTTTAGAAGAGAAAGGTAATTTAGGTTTTATGAAAGAGCATGTACTGCACCTAACAATAAAGTGGGACGAAAATGAGGAGAGAATTGGGACAAATAATTATTCTTCTTCCTATTTTTCAAATTTATTTTTGTAACTGAGAATGTTTGTTGGTTCACTTGGAGTTTGGACTTGAGTGATACTGTCTGATTACTATAATCTAAGTACATGTTCACCTTTTCAATTCGAAATTATCACTATATCCTCGTGTTTTTCTTGTTATTATTCGCTTATTTAATTCTTTAATATTTGTGATATTTTTCTAGAGAAATGTTATTCTACCAGTACATGTGAAAGTGAGGTCTCTTAATTCATCGTGCAATGCATTATTCATCTTTCCAAGCAAGATCTGTTAGAATTTGAGTGTGATTTGAATTTTTAGTTGAAAATAATTGAGAGTTCTAATTAAAGTAGACATTAAGAAAAATTCTATTAAGCTATTGTTGAAATCCTATTCAAGTTTACTTGACGAATTCTAATTGAAATTCTATTTGGAAGTCCATTGGAGTAGAAATTTGTATTGGACTTGAAGAAGACTTTGGAATGAAGAAAAACATTTTTGGAAAGTTTTTGGACGGAGATGGCCGCCCACCCAAAACTAGGTAGAAGAGCCAGTACTGCAGCATCGGCCCCACGGTGTCGCCCTACCTGTTTTGCCCCTGTGCGATTTTTTCTGTTCTACTCCATTTTTTGGCATTCTATTTCAACTACAACTTTACTACGGGGGTTTAGAAGTCTCCTATTTGTTTCCTATATATAGTTGACTTTTCATTATGATTTAGTAGGAAGTTAAAAATATTGTAAACACATAATTTTTGTATTTTTTCTCCATATTATAATAAAATTTCTGCAAAATTACATTCTTCTTGTGTTCTTATGAGCAATTACTTCATATTGTAGCTTAATATCTCATTTTTTCCAATAAAGTGATATGAGATTAATCCAATATCATCTTCGTTTTTCACAACAAATACGTATCAGAGCAATATTGGTATCATGATTGTTTCTAACAAACTGATATCAGAATTTTTGGTGTAGAATCATCTTCGTTTTTCACAACAAATTCGTATCAGAGCAATTTTGGTATCTTGATTGTTTCTAACAAACTGATATCAGAATTTTTGGTGTTGAAATCCTTGAGAAGATTGAAGTTTTGATAAGTTAATAGCTCAACTTGATCTTTTGTGATAGTAACAATGAAGTATGTGATGCAGGAGGGTCCAAATCAGACGAAGCTGAGTTGTCAGATAACTCGTTGATGGTGCTAACGTACCATGAGTTGGCGGATCGACGTAAGAATGGAAAGTAATCGACGACATTTCCTAATTGGGGTCAATTTTGAACACGTTTTGGTATTTTGGCCATAACTTTGGCTACGGTTGTCAGAATCACGCCCGTGACCCCAATTCGGAAAGCTCGTTTCGGCGCGCACGTCGTGGGCACCCAGCTATGCTCGGTGTGCATCGGATTCGAGATCAAATTCAGCTGTTTTCCCTTCCGAATCATCAATTTAAGTTATTTTTTGCTATTTATGGTAATATTTCGGTTTCCCTTTTGACATAGAATAATTGCTCGATTTGAGCCGAATTTTGGTGATATTGTTTCTTTTATTAAGTATTTTATTTTGGTATGAATATTAGGATTTTGCTATTTTTGGCAAAATTCCGATTATTATTATTATTTTCTTGCTATTTAACCCGGCTTGTGGGTTATTTTCATTCAGTTGTTGAATAATAAAGAATTTTCTCGTTTTTCTTTGTGTTTCTCTTGCGTTCTTCTCTGTTTTTGTCAATTGAACCCAGCCTGCAGAATAATCACTATTCTGCCCGGCGTCAGTATGATATTCCGTTATTGGATCACAATATAAAATTCTCTTTGCGTTAGGTAGAGATGTGATCAGTATTCGCTTAAATGGATTTGAACGACGCGTTGTTGGAATTTGACAAAATGCCCAAGACTCGGACTATAGAGGAAAAATAATAGAGAGATCGAAATGCCCTATCTGAAATATATTTTCATCTTTCAAATAATATTATTCGGAACGTTTGAAGGAGAAGTCGACATCTGTATTATGATTAAAATTGGAGCAATTATGCATGACGAAGAGTCTTACTAACAAATTGTATATGAAGCAAACGTCTATATTCTCATCGTATTATAGATGGTATATCTTTTGAAGATTACCTAACTATTTTTAAGGAAATAATTGCTGATTTGGAGACCTTAAAGGTCAAATATGATAAAGAAGACCTTAAAATGATTGATTTTGTTGCTTTCATTACCCACCTCATACATGTTTTTTAGAGATACGATACTATATAGTCGTGATACTCTTATTATAAAAAAAGTCTACGATACTCTATATTCAAAGGAGAATATGAAGCATTTTATAGCATTTGGGGATCATGGAGATAGTCTCATTATTCATGGTGGTCGTTCAAGGAGCAAATCAAAATCTAACTTACAATTTTGTAATTACTGTAGGAAAAAAAGGCACTTGGTAAACAATTGTTATAAGTTGCAGAATAAATCAAAATCAACTATAAATCAACAATCAAAAACTTCGGGAGAAACAAGTATTGCAGTAAATCCTGGCAGAGATGGAGAGCTTTTACTTATGTTTGATTACAACTCCAAACCTGATGAAGCTTGGATTTTTTATACAGCTTGTACTTTCATGTCACCCAATCGAGAATTGTTTTCAACATATGAAGATGTTTCAAATGGTATTGTAATGACCGATAATAACACACCTTCTCAGATAACTAATATTAGTCGTGTAAGAATAAACGTGTTTAATGGGTTAGAACACTTAATGTAGTGAGACACGTTTCATATCTGAAGAATACATTTATCTCCTTAAGTACTATTAATTCAAAATGGTACATGTACACTGTTGAATAAGAAGTTATGAAGATTATTTAATGAGCTCGTGTTGTGCGGTGGGACATAGAAAATCCAATTTATATATCTTACAGGGTGATACAAAATCATCGAGTAATCAACATATTTTAAGAACTCGAGTGGATTTAGAGTTGAGTCTGATTTGAGGTTTTCTTTTAAGAATACATCTTGGTTAAATTTTGAATATATTTGTAAATTCATCTTGCCACCATTATGGACGTTGTCATCGAATTCATTGTTAGAAATAGACCCGTTTCGGCCATAATGTTTCACATATGTACAATTCTGTTGATTTTGTTGATAGTTTGAATGCGATTAAGGATGTTGATTCTAGCCAATAT